GGAATCTCTATCACTGTCACCAACATCAACAATCAGTTCTTCTGTTTGTCTGTCTACTACTTGCTCACTGATCCCTATTTTTAAATATTTAATCTACGCCCCTGATAGGAACACTAAAGAAAGAGGGCTGCAATCTTTATACCTAAAACTGTCTACTTTTTCCACCGCGCATCCACGCCATTTTAAAATTTCCGCCAGCTTCCAGCGTCAGGCCTGTATGACATCTTAACTATAATTTACTTTATTTTAAATTTTTTCAGTATTTTTCATTTTTTTTTAATTGTACAGAAGACTAATATGATAAAAAAAAATGAAGACGAAAAACTAGTCGTTCCTTTTCGATATCTCGGAAATAAAGTAAGATGTCAGCAAAGTGATTAGAGATTTTTGCAGCTTATACAATTCGTACCTTAACAAATTCATACAATTATTTTGTTATTCATAAAAACAATTGAATGAAAGCGCCAACTAAACAAACCTTGGTTTTTCATAAAATGAAGTGTTAAAAAAAATTTAGGGAAATTAAATTGAGTATCATGATTTTTGTAAAAATATAGTTCCGAGAAAGGCGCGTTAGTCCATTATATTAGTCTAAAATCTTATAGTTAAAATGTGTTACTTCGTTAAAAGGAAAATCTAAAAATTTTCCCTTTTTCATTTGAGCCCCATCGAATTGTGGAAGCTGTTGCTTGGTCACGGTCTGGTAATAAAAAGTGTCAATCTAACCCCCTGATAAGCTGTTGTAATCCGATTTTCTCGTTTTCTGGCTCTTGTTAGTGAATGTAACCACCGTTCACCTAAATTGGCCCTAAAACGGTCTCTTGAGAAACAAAAGCCCGACTAAACGAGAAACTATAATCGATTGCTTTCAGTTTATTATAAATCAATGCAACATTTTTTAATTCTATTTTCAATTAAGGCGCATTAAAGAAAATATTTTCCTTCCACTAAAAACGTAGGTTTATAAAAACTTCTGAAAACAAAAGTTCTGAAAACTCCTACAAACCTTATACATTAAAAATATATTTAAATGAATTCGTAGTAACTTTTTGCGTAGGTATATATAGCTAGCTCAAAATCTCATGAGCCTTCTCATATTGTACGTTACAAAAACAGTGACTCAGCTGTTAATCATGTGTCTCGCTTTAAAACATAAATGAACGGGTGGAGTTTTGTAACTGTGCAAGCCAAGGTCAAGGTTCATGAAATTTCGAACTACCTCTAGCAAGTATGTCAACGATATACGTCACTGTTAATAAATCAATACAACATTTTTAATTCTATTCTTGAATTAAAGACGCAAATTTGCGATTTTTCGTAGGTATAGACTATAGAAACTGCTGAAATCAAGAGTTCTAAAAGCTCTTTAAACCTAATACTTTGAAAATATATTTAAATGAATTCGAAGTAACTTTTTGCGTAAGTACATATACAGCTGGTAAAAAATCTCATGAGCCTTCTCATATTGTACATTACAAAAACAGTGACTCAGCTATTAATAGTCATGTGTCTCGCTTTAAAACCAGGAATGGAGACGGAGCTTCAAATAAATAAACGGATGGAGTTTTGTAACTGCGTTAGCGATGGTCAAGGTTCATGAAATTTTGAACTACCTTTGGCCAGTACTTAAACGATATACGTCACTGTTAATAAATAGGTAAGTAGATAAAAATTCCTACCTGTACCCGTACTTCGGGTAAATTGACTTTCATCGCTAACTCTTCTCTGCTGTAGACGTCCGGGTAATGACTCTTCTCGAACGCCCTTTCGAGCTCGTGCAATTGGTAGGTAGTAAAAGTTGTTCTGTTTCGTCGATGTTTTTTCTTGCAATTGTCGCTTTCCACATGTCCGGAATTGACTGTGCTTCCCTCGTCTTCGGAGCCGCTACAACCCATTCCGGAAATTTTGCCGTACCGCAGATCCGATACGCCGTCGTTTGAATTACAGCTTCCTTCTCCTGGAAATTTTATTTCTATAGCAAATAGAGCTGGGTTATTGAAAATAATTAAAAAAAAACGACCTTTACTCGAAATATGCACACACATAATTGTATTTTATAGGTACAATGGATTCGATAAAATTTATTGGAAAGCTTGTAAAGAACACCACTAGATCCTTACGGAAAATGGCCTCAGTCAAATTCTTTGAACCTTTGGATTGTGGTAATTCTCGACGTGTAGATTAAAAGTCTCAATAGCCGCTAAGTCGTAAAAACTCATCTTTTTGAGATATGGTCCCTTAAAATTGCATTATTTCATAAGGACTTTTAAGGTACAATGGTACCTATTATAAGTATTGAATACGTTCAATCATAAATGCATTTAAAATAATTCGAAGTGGTCTGTATTCTGTCGAAACTGCCAGACGTGGATCGCGATTTCGATCCTTTTGGATCTCATCAGCGCGTCGCAAACAGCTCCGACAGAACACAGACCAACTTTTACCTGCTGTCTTAACAGTACGTTTCAGAAAATACTACAGTGGCGCAGTAAACGCCATCTGTAGCACAATGCTACATTTTAGGATTACGTATGCTGCAACACATCGCGATCCGCGTCTGGCAGTTTCGACAGAATACAGACCACTTCGAATTATTTTATTCGATTAAGCTAACGTGCCTATCACGTTAAGATTGGCTACGCCGGGATTCGTTTTCAGCAAGGAGATATCCACACAAGTGGACCTTGTTGGAGCATACGTAATCCTAAAATGTAGTAAATGTACAGATGGCGTTTACTGCGCCACTGTAGTATTTTCTAAAACGTACTGTTAAGACAGCAGATAAAAGTTGGTCTGTGTTCTGTAGGAGCTGTCTGCGACGCGCTGATGAGATCCAAAAAGATCGAAATCGCGATCCGCGTTTGGCAATTTAGACAGAATATAGACCACTTCGAATTATTTTATTTAGGTTTTGATTTTTACGATACCGAAAACAGTAAGTATTTTATTTTATAAAGTATTCTAATTCGAAGAAAATTTGTAGTCAACAGATTTGTTCTAATGATCCATTACAAATAAAGAAGCAAATAAAAAAAACATTAACCATTCAACCGGTCGTGCGCGATTTGTGAAGCGATAACGCAGTAATTAATATTTATTTCAAACTGGACAAATAATGAACTTTTTTGAAAGCGATATTAGGGCGATAGTGTGGACACAATATCGTTAAGTTATGATAAATGATGAAGTGTTTGTGTTGCGGTTAATTTAGGAACTTTACCGTATACCTAGACAACCCCTCGGAGCATATTTAATAAAGCTAATTACACACATGTAAACTACAATCGATTAGGTACACACAACTACACTAGACATACACATATACGTATATAATTAACCTGTGTGAATTTAATATAGCTACCTAAAAACATGCATTCGGAGTATACCTACTTCAAATTAAAGCCTCTACAGGTATAGAACGAAACTTTAGTAATAATACAGTTCAAGTGTTTTATCTTTTCGAAACCCACAAACGTTTTTAATTGATTTTCAGTTTTTGGCGCATGATTAAACAAGCAAAATAGACACTACGATATTCTTTATAAGAATTTTTAGGAGTCCTGACATGAATTAAAGTAAGAAGATTGTTGGTTTGGAATTCTTAAATTGTCTCCAAAACAACAATCCTAGCAATCCAGCCTATTGGTAATAATGTTTACAAAAAAGTTAGTAGATTAACTGAGAAAAATGGCAAATACTGGGGAAAGCATATGAATATTTTATTGTAGACAGCATTTTTTAAGAATTAATTCCACATATACATACATTACTGTAATTTTTTATCTAAGGATTCCTTAAAATTCTTATGGGATTATGGGTACTAATATATACTTCATTTACTTTCTCTAGCGGTGTGCCCCTTCCAATGTCTTGGTTGCGCGCTGGCAAAATCGTAGGTAGGGAGAAAAAAGCTCATTATACTCTCGACCCTTGTTCATTAAACATACTTTTTCATACAGTACTTGCCAAAAGTTTGGTTCAATCATGAATAGTAGTGCGTGTCGAAAACAAGCGTTAAACCTTTAAAATGTCTTCAAATATAAATAAACATCTCGTTGATATTTTCAATAGTAAACGGTACCAATAGCAGCACATTTGAGCAATGCAATTGTAGTGGATAAAATGGTCAATTTTTCCGTGCAGTACTGTACGGATTATACGCTCCTCACCGGTTAAGAGTTTGGCCGAGAGTTGTCTCCTTCCTTTTCTGGCCTAGTGCTGTTCTTTTCTACTTTGCGCAGGCCAAACTGAAGGTCACATCGCTACAGGAAGTAAACGAAGTATAGCTTACTCCAATTCTGTGTCTTTCATTCATTCATTTCATTCAAATAAAAATTACTATTTCCGTATTTCCTCTAGTCGTACAAATATGTATCTATATTTTATGCGTATTTTTTATCGCTTTTCTTCGAAAGAAATTTAATTCTGTGCGTCCATTGTCTGTGTAATTCTGAAACAAATGTTGATCTATAAAAGTGGGCGATTTCTTTAATTAAGTAATTGTATGATATTAATAAAAATCTTCAATCCACCTAGCTATGACAAAAAAATAATTCTTAACCCCTTCGTGTTCCTACTTTAAGTACTTTTCAAAATTTCATATAGTAATTTCGCACTTGATCAGTTCTTTTTATTGCCGCTTTCGTTATGACATTATCTCCACTGTCTGAAATATTTTTATATGACATTCATTTGAATGATTTTTTATGCTTACGAATGTTATATTACAATAAAGCGATCGATTATTTAATTAAAGGAGGTAATCTGGAAAACTGTCGTGCCGTCTAATTGCTCTGCATTAATAATAAGTAACACAACATCAGATTTTCGATAAGGCGGATAATTGTTAATTGCGTTTTTGCATGCATTGCTTTTTAGTCGAACGTACAAACGACTCTGGACTTTTTAACTTCAATATAACCTGTAGGTGGGTGCCTGTGTTTGTTATGTGAACACATACACATATACTTAATCGACTACTGCACTTTAATACCTAGATCTTACAAGCATGAATTGCTTTCATTTTAGACTTATTATTACTTTTTTATTTATCGTCTGCAGTTACTAGGTAATTATATATTAATACTAGCTTTTCCCCGCGGCTTCACTCGCAGAAATTAATATTGTTTTTCCATAAAACCATTTAACTCTCAATTTATTAAATTTCAAATACAAATGTAGCAACAACATTTCATCCTTAAGGGTTGATTTTTAAAAATTGCCAAAACACGTATTTGCTTAATTTCAACAACGAGAAACCTTCGAGTAGATCCGAGTAGAAATAAAATATATCGCATGGAAACGTTGCAACCTCTTTTTATTTGATTAATAATATCAAACAGCATATTTACCAACTTTCAAGTAAATTCAACTACAATTAAAGTATGTCCCAAATAATACCTTTTCACCCCTCCCCCTTTGGAAGTTGAATTTTTTAAAACTTAAGAGACCATTAAGACCAAGTTTCAAGTAAATCTGATCACAAATAATATATATTACGTTTAAACATTGCAACTCCCCTTCATCACTCCTCCCCCCAAGGGAACGGGATAAAAATCCCATGTGCGTCTCCTGGTTGTAAGCTACCTCCCCGCCAATTTTCAGCCAAATTGGTTCAGCCGTTCTTGAGTTACAAATAGTGTAACTGACACGACGAAATACGGATAAAAAAATAAAGTTAAGAGCAAATAGCAATTGCAGTTTGTAAAATTTTTATAATAGGTTTTTATAATGCTCAAACAATTGAATTTAATCGATCGTAATGTTTTCAGCCAATAGATTTGTTCCGAAGGTTCTCGCTGAAAGATTGACCTCGCGAACTTGCAATGCAAAAATGCAAGACTAAGACCAAGGCCAATAGTGTCTTTATACTGGAAAGACCAAGGTCGAACGAACAAGACCAAGGCTATAACCAACACTGAATATGCAAGACCAAAATAAAACACGCAAGACAAAACAAAAAATTATTACTTCCGGTGGATTTATGAGCTAAACTATTTGAGGCAACATTAATATATTCTACTATTGGAATAAAATACCTTTTTGTAATTGAAATTTTTAGTTTGTGTTACTAGATTTTAACACTAAATATAAAAAAAAGAAATTACCACTGTTTCAGAAAAGGGGTCTCGGTTCTCGGAGTAAGTGTTCTTTGTTCCTGTGTTTGATGGATAACACATGGTTAAAATATAGAAGCNGGTATCTAAAATCAGCCACTTCTAATTTTTTGTCTCCTATCTTTATATTCGCTCTTTCCCTACTTTTTTTCCCTTGCATATCAGTATTTTAGTTTTACTTTTTTTTATTTTCATACAGTACTGATCTGTCAGTACCGCTTCCATTTTATTTAAAGCTATCTCTAGGTCCTTTATTTGTTGTTATTACCAGGTAATTTCGTGTTAAAAATATTTTAATGAGGGTCTTATTTATTGAACACATTCTGACCCTTCCAATTCCTGAAAGGGTTCCCTGTAGGAACTGATGCTGCCCTAATTCGAATTTAATGGTTGTCATCGGTTGGACATCCTGCAAGGACCTCTACAGAACCTTACCATTCATTCTATCGAAACGTTATGAAACAGCTTCAACCGACGATAGCCTTTAGACCCGAATCAGGATAGCAGCAGTTCACAAATCGGCCGCGAAAGCTTTTACCAATTTGTCCAACCCTGTCAGGTTCGCGACCTCCAGGTTAAGAAACGTAATTGTGCCTGCTTCTAATTAAACCTTTAACAAAATAAAATAAATAAACTAAAAAGAGACTCACCTTAAAGGTACTACTAGACCTTTTCCCGACGGATACCTGTTTCGGACATTTTTAATGTAGACATTAACATCGCGAATCTCTTACAATAAACATCCTTATCGCAACGAACGACAAAATCATTTTCGCATTTAAAACAGGTGTCGTTTGTAAATGGATAAAATAATTATATCCAGCTTTTGTAGTTAATGAAC